ATTTAAATAAATAGCCGCACGTTTAATACATTTGAACCAGCAGTTTGGTGGTTGAAAGCCAAACGCCAAACCCACCACGTCATAAGGTACATTTGATGACAATTTTGTTCAAAACATAAAAGTGCTTATATTGTATTCTCATAAACATTTATTTATTTATTTATTTAAAATCTTTATTGCACTTAAAATGTACAATTGGTGGATTTAATGCCTTTAGGCATTCTCTACCAGACCACCACGAGCTAACCAGATAACTTAATCAGGTTTTTTAATAGGATAGGGTGACAAACGAGCACACAGTCCACCTGATGGTAAGTGGTTGCTGTGGCCCATAGACATCTACATCTATCCTCGATTACGAATCAAAATGCAGATGCGTTGTCACCCGTGAGGACTAAGATGGAATACCTCGTTTCCAGTAAAAAAGGTCTCCTGTTCTCTACACTCAACATACGAAACACAGCAGCATCAAGTAAAATAGTTTACGCTGGTATTCTCTGAGAGCGTCGTCCTTCCCCGGTCGAGCCGACTCATTCGTGCTACTACTATACTACTAATATAATTGCAGCATGGCTCTACCACGTAAAAAAACATGAGAATAATCTACCTGAATGTAAATATAAAAATATACATACCATAACATATAATTTTGTTAGTAATAACTTCAGTTGCGGTCGTTGCTCATCAGGACATTAGCCGTAGTTGCCACGTAGGTGCTACGCCAGCCAAAGTATGACACAGGAGCGAGTCATAAGGATATTGCAATATGTGATATGATGATGAAGTTGATGATTATTCAGGTTCTTCGGAGATTAATTTATGACAGGTTTTTCTTTAAAAAAAAAACCGTTGGTAAAGTTGTTTTTTTGATTGTTTTCGTTTTGGACGATGCTTTAATGTTAAAATACTACTAATAATAGCAATTTTATTAACATTAATTATATTCCTTTTAATTCTTAATAATCTTAAATAGTTGTGCTAGGAGTTACTCAAAACAAATTGAATAGCGGATACGACTGTGAAGTTTGCAGTTAAACCCTTAGACACCGCACACTACAGGCTTTCTATCGCATAAAACACCCCAACTTAGCGCACAAAACACCCCAAGCATAAGCTCGAGCATAGTTGGCGCATTTAATCATTAATATTTATTAATATTTGCTGCAAAACTAATATGTAATATGTCAACAGTACGGCTCTCGATGCTCTCGAACAAAGATTCTCTAGTGGCAGCCTCGTACCGGTAGGCGAAGTGTAGGGCGTTCTCCTACTAGATGTAGTGACGACCTGGTAAGACACGCAGGAAGTCAATGGATGCAGGTGGCTTAGGATCATGCTTTGTGGCATTCCTTGTGGGAGGCCTATGTTCAGCAGTGGATTTGTGAAGGGTTGTAATGATGATGACGGCTCTCTATGATTTGTGTATATATAAATTATTTATACCTCTTGTGTTTCAGATCAATGGACACAGAAGCTGATAGACTATCGTGAATGGTTCCAATCCCAGGAGTCAGTTAGGGCAAATGAAAGCCTTAGACCTGGAAAGCCAACTAATTACGACTAGCTCTTCGGCATAGATGGCTCGTTTAGGCGATTGGCTATTGATTAATTACTCGATTTTATGATTTAGGGATCTTTTTGTAATTTCTATCATAAGTACAGTAATATAAAAGTTTGTGAATCTTGTCGAATTCTCAGACGAACAAAGAAGGATAAATCGACAGATTAGTACATTTCAAGTGAAGTCGAAACAATGATCTATTTCTTGACACGCATTCACAAACTGACATCTTTCTTCTTTTTTGGACGCACACATGCACATTTTGGATGAGTGTGGTTTCAGCTTGGTTTCTTTCGTACGTAGTATTTTATTCATTTTTTGTTGTTCCTGAGGTTAAATAATGAGATATAAAAAATCTAAGAAAAATTTCGTGTTTATTGTAGATATTCGTAATTATAACTCTTGCTGTACTGTTCAATCAGGTTATTGATGCATGATTTTTGTGTTATTGTTGTTGAATCCACCAGTATTATGGCATATTCATGTTCATTTGTTATTACTAAATTCCGAAGCAAGGTTCATCAATGATATTTAATTTTATGCTTTTCATTATATTTTCGGAGTCCTTTCTATTACGGGATTATGACTTTTAAGGAGATAAATTTTGTAATACTTTTTTAATTTAAATAATAATTTTAAAATTATATCTTCAGGGAAAACACATTTTATGCAAATAAAAAAGCAATTTTTGTACCATTGCACGTTTTTAATAGCTTGAATATGTTTTCAAGCCTTAATATTATACATTAAGATTTCAATTCTACAAACCCAAGGGAATTAAAAAAAAAACATTTTAACTATTTGATAAAATTTAGACCATAGATGCAATATTTTTGAATTATCTTTTTTCGAAAATCAAATGTGATAAGGAATAGATTAGGCTAATTATAAAATATACTGTTATAATAATAATTTTTGACTAGTAGTAATAATCGTTCTACCTCTTACATGATTCTTTTTGAATTGATTGCTAAAAAAGTATAAATATTTGATCGAAATGCCCACATATTTGTATAAAAATATACATAACAAATAAAATATTTCATGGAATTTGCTTTTCGGCAATATAGACTTTTAAATCAGGCAACTTTATCACATATTTTGTTTAAATTTAAAATAAATAATTTCTGAATGCAAATTTTTTCTAAAGTATAATATTATTTTCTTTATAAGATTAGTTAATTGAAAATGGTTCAAATATGAAATAAATAAAAAGGTGATAATACTGCTCTTTTTTTAATAACAGAACAAACCTTTTTAGTAATTGGCGCCGGCGAAGATTGAGTCAGTGATGCTCGCGTACTGTGAAATTTACAGCGAGCACTTAGCACAGGATAAAGATTAGCATGTACTTTTAATTACGTAACGATCTTTAAAGAAATGTCGGCAAAGCTGTATTCAGCAGTAAATTTAATAGACTGTCAAAGATGCAGACAAAACTCAAACTTTCAACAAAATATTTGCACAGCTCGATCCCACGTCCCCGAGTCGTTTATTCTGACCACTACCCCTAACGGTCTTGATTTTTTTATAAAATAAAGGCGACAAAGAAACACAGTACTATATTACTACATTTCTTTAACTTTTTATTTGAAAAATGGTCATAAAATCAAGAATATAGAGCCGGGATTCGCAATTTTCTTATTTTTGATTTTACAGGCGGTAAGGTCTAAAATCATAGAAAGTTTGCTTACCTAATACTCGAACGCCCCTTTAACCAAGGATATATCATCGAGAGAGTATCATATTCGATTAAGAATCATCTAAAATAAAATGCCTCATTACCAGGTCTCCAGTTCTCAACACTTAACATACGAAATAACGAACACATAATCACTTACGAAACACAGAAGTATTAAGCTGCTATATTACGCAAATACGCATGCTGCAACCATAAAAGAACTAGCTGTAGCATCAATTTATACGTGGTAGCAAGAATGGGTCGGCTCGACCGGGGAAAGACCACACTGTCACAGAATACCAGCGTAAAACTGCTGCGTTTCGTATGGTGAGTGTAGAGATCCGGAGACCGTTTTATACTGGAAACGAGGCATTACATTTTAGTCCTCAGGGGTGACAACGCATCTGCATTTTGGTTCTTAATCTAGGTTAAATATAGATATCTATGGGCCACAGCATCCACTTACCATCAAGTGGACTGTGTGCTCGTTTGTCACCCTTATTCTATAAAAAAATCCAACAGCGACAAAGCCACTGTTACCTTTATTCTATTTATCATAATCAATTTCGCGATAACATGAATAGTGAAAATTATATAAAGCTATATTTCGGATTTTTCAGATTTTTTAACGCAATTTTAATATACTAAATAAGATTACTGGCAATGCTATGGTCATTACTGGTATTCCCACACACACACAAGCATGCCATGAAAAGTAGCCGAGGCATGGTCACCCACGGTGAAATAACTGGAACCCGGATGGATAGCATGAGGTGGGTGGACTCAGTACTGACTTGGCAAGGCCACTCTGGAACGAATTTTATTTCTGGATGCGAGCTGTTGGACTGCGGAGGGAGAGTGATCTCAGTAATATAAAAGTTACCTACTTTTTATAGCTATATCGATTTTAAATTTATTCTAAATAAAATAAAATAAAAGAATAAGAGAATACTGGTGGCTATGAACGGCTCGACTTTCCGTCGATGTATGCGAGGCTCTGGTTACTGACTAATGGCGTAATATCCTTCCGAAAACCCTAAACCCAAATTTTACAGCCTTGGGTTTGGGTGCAACATTGGTGAAAGTGTGTCAACTCTACACTCAACGAAACGCCTGCCTATCACGGTGAATACGTACAAGCCTTCCAAGTGACACTGGCCAGCTGGACCATTCCAGTAGTGGACGTAAAGTGCATGAATGATTGGTTCGTTTGAGCTGCTACACTTAAAAATATTTATTGATCATCTGTTTTTGAATGTTCCGTTACAACCAATTACAAGCAATTGACGGAACCTATTTAACACGTGATTGGTGTGAATTGTGAATGAGTCGAAAACCGACCGAATCCGGAATGATCTGAATGAATTGTTTTTAGTGTAAGGCACTGGAGCCCGTATCAATCATCGTCTAGAGCCTATTCATTCGATGTGTGTACAAGATTTCCATTTGTTATCTTATTTTCTTCATTTATATTGGTTTCTCCCGTTGCAGAAAAGATTTTCCTTATCGTCACGCTAAGCAGGCTGATTAACGCAGTACCAGAATTCTTTCACCTTTGATGTTACTTCCCAACGCTGGTCTGAGTATTTAAAAAATATATTGTTACCCTTTAACATTTTATTCTTAATAGATGATGAATAACAACACCACTTACTTCAACAATCTAAAAATTGTGAGGAAAATGTATAACATCAAAATTAATATAAAAATTATTGAAATATGTAAAGTATCACTGTGAGACAGTCGTGGCCCGATTTCTTAGACTTTGTTAAACGGATAGTATGGATTATCTTTCCATTCAACAACGTCTACAACTCTTATATCCTTGTTAAACTTATTTATATTAGCAATTTCGTCTTCGGTTAAACTGAAATCGAATATTTGGATATTTTGGATTATTCGCTCCTTATTTGTCGATTTTGGTATCGGAATGGTTCCTCGATCAATCTAAAACGTATAATGAATAATAATCAATTATTATCAATTCTCTACTACGGAATGAACTGTAATTATTAAGACAATTTAAAGTCAAATGAAACACTCTTTTATTAGAATGCATTAAAGTAAAAAATAAACCTTACCGATAAAATTCCTAATATATATTAGATAATACACAAGCTTACATATTATGAAGCTATCTATCACGTGTCCCAGAGATCAAAGTCGAACCAAAAACGGGCAATAAGCTAAGACGTGAAAGTTATTAGAAAAATATAAGAAAAATTTTAGTCAAGTACTTTTCAAATTGATGATTGAATCCTTATTCAAAAATAAATCTCAAAACTGAGACCTTATGATGATCTTTCAAGTCCTGTGACTACAAATATTATCTTTTCGTCAGTTTTTTTTTGTATATACATCACCCAACTGTACTATAGAAAAATTTACTACACTATTTTGGCAAGTAATTTTAAAATATGGTGCGTTTAGTCTGAATTCCAAAATGGTATGACACTTACTAATTCCTACTTCTTAATTTTATTCAGGGTTATTCAAGGTAACATAACAGAAAAAAAAGATATATTTTAATATTTTTACTAATTGTCACGACTTGGATTATTGCTCGTTTCCGGCTTTACATTCATTTCTGGGACATCCTGTATAAAAAAGTTCATCCATCAATAAATATAATGCCTACAAATACCACAACTATCACGATTAGCAGGTGGATTCAGGATTGCATTAGAATAATTTATTTTAATTGTTTTTTTGATAAATTTGCTATTATGCTACTATCTACTTAGTTGATGATGAACACCACTTAAGCAACATCAGAGATAGAAAAGGATAAAGCTGGAAGTGAACAAAATAGTATGAAAATAATGTAGGAAACGGTTAAAATAAACTTTTAAATTTAGAACGTGGGTACGCCTTTTCGAAGCAGGAATGGAGCCTAAAAGCGGGTGCTTAGTATCACATGTTAAACGAAGAACAGCCCATTAGGTGGAGGTCCGGTCCATTATGGCGGCACCGAGTGGAACCGATGCACGGGGAGCTAAAGAGACTATGAATAAAAATGTGTAATAAAGTAATATAAAATAAAATATACTTTTAATGAATTACAGTAGTCGCTGCGTCGGCTTAGACCATTCATTGGATTTGGATGGTGGTGGATTATCTTACGGCAACCGTACAAGTGCGTAGGGTTGCCGTAAGATATTCCACCACCCCATTTCGTCCCGTGGGTACCGTAAGAAGCGTTATAGGGAACCTGAAACAGTTGAAATGGGCAGCAGCATCTCCCTGATGACAGCTCAAAATAATTAAAAATGGCGGTTGTCAACTCGCCCACTAAGCTGAACAACTCCTAGCCTATATTCAGTATAGGATTGTTGAAGAGCAATAATGATAATGTATGTTGCAATGAACGAAAAAATAAAATTAACAAACCTACCAAATAACGGAGTACTACTTGACTTGTAGTTTTTCCATATTTTTGGGCAATTTTTGTCAACTCCGGGTCATCAAACCTGGGTGAAATATTATTTTGTTTCTTTCTGGCCACCATAAAACCAAAAGGGCTGTATGACATGACTTCAATATCAACACTTCGACAGTAAGATATAAGCTGCTCTTGAGTTAATGTTGGATTTACCTGAAAATAATTATATAAAATTACTATAAATGCTCTTATACTGGTACTTTACCAACTTAAACCATGTAGTGTTAGTGTAAATAAACCCACTATCCCATAACCTGCCGCGGGTGTAGTGTGAAGCAACAAAAGGAGACGTATACAGGAGATGGACAGTAACATCTTCCCAATAACGGCTGAATAAAAGTACTTGAGCACTATAATCCTATGTCAACGGAGGCTAGCCATCGGCGTAGGACAGGATTATAGTGCCCAAGTGTATGCACAAGCACAGGTGCATTCTCTATTTCCTCACTCTCATAATCCGATGGGACGGTAAACCGACACGACCTGAGAGAGATCGGGCGCAGGACCAACGGCTTTACGTGCTTTCCGAGGCACAGGGGTGAGACACCGCTGACTTCCTGACTCCGGGCAGGTACTGAGAATTTCTTGACGGAAAAACTTAATAATTGTTTTTTTTTGGCCCGACCCGGGATTCGAACCCAGGACCTCATGATCAGAATTCGCACTACTACACTTACTAGACCAACGAGGCAGTCACATTATTTTTATTATTATTACTATCCCACCTGGTGGTCACCACCCCACCGCCGAAGATGGTAAAACACACAGACTTAGCTTAACAAAAGCCTGTTTACTCTTGACTTGAAGACACCCACATTGTAAATCGGATGGAAAGACAGATGATGGAAAATTATTCCACTCCGAAGCCGTATGAATTATGAACGACGAAGCAAACCGTTCGCAAATATGTTGTTGAAAATGTACAACATATTTGCGGTTGCCAACCTGCCTGCCAAGTTTGGCAACTATGGCGTAATCTCCTCTATGTGGCAATCTATGTGGGAGGCCTGTGTTCACCTGTGGACTTTTATAGGCTGTAATAGATAGAATTTCCCCATTGGTGGTAAGGCGTGAGGCAATATTAAGTAGCAAAACACACTAACTTGTTTAATCTGATGCAATAATTAAGTATGAAAACCATTTAAGTGATTTAAATAAATCATCTACTTTTACTTCTTCAGCCAATAAAGGTCCTCAGTTGGACCGCTTTCGGTTTCCCCTTTTGGGAACGGTTTGGCTTGATCCTCACGCTAGGCCTACGGTTTGGTAATCGTAGTTCCAGGATGCCTTGTACCTCCATCTCTATTCCCGTAACCGGAATTAGGAAAACGCTGTTGCTCATCTCCTGGTTTGCTTTTATTTCTGGCACTTCGACACGGTTAAACGGTGAATACTTTAAATTTTTTATGAACTGTTCAATAAAACTTTAGCATACTTATTACACAAGTTTTATCATTTATTCAACTCTTACCATGTTTGTGCTCGAACCATCAGTGAGCAAAAATCGCTATAAAAATTACCTCAATTTCATTAACTGCCGGTTTTATGTCACAATTCTTTAAAATTCTGCCAATCTGCTCGCTGTTGAAGTTGGAAACTCCTATGGACTTCGCCAGGCCGAGCTTCTTCGCGTCCTCCATACCTCGCCAAGTGTCTAAGTAATCGATATTCTCGAAGGTACCGTCATCCTGAAAATAGAGATTTGGTCTTTATAAACTTCCTCTGGAGGCTGGCCATAACTGGATGGACCGACGGTTTATAATCTGGACCGGTGCAAACTGACGACGATGATGATGATGCAAAATCTGCTGTGCGATTTTATATTTAAAGGTATAATAAGCGAGCAGCCGCGATGCTGGTGCCAAGTATAACATTTTTTATCGAACTCATAGCCCACCTGTTGTCCTATAAATTAAAACCTCCTAAGGCTAAGCGAAGGATCCTTCTCCGGCGCAATTTTAGTAGAATGGACCTGGATAAGTTACGAGAAGATACTGCTAAGGTTGACTGGTCAGTAGTTGCGAATGCTGGTTCGGTTGATGAGCAGATATCTATTTTTAACAGCATACTTACACAACTGTATGACATTCACGCTCCAATTCGTCCAGTTCGAATGAAGCATCTTCCTGCCCCTGGCTCACTGCCGATATAAAAAAACTTCAAGAAAAAAAGAACATAGCGAAATCTAAATATCGTATGAATCCTAATGATTCTAACCGAGAGAAATATAACAGGGCACGAAATCGCTGCAATATGGTGTGTAGAGATAGTCAACGACGCCATATCCATAAATCTGTTGTTGAGGAAGATAACTCAACTAAAGTTTGGAACTTTCTCAAATCTTTAGGGGTTGGAAAAGCAAAGCGTAATGTAGAATCTCTTAATTTGAATTTAAATAAGCTTAATGCTCATTTCCTCTCTAGTGCCACTATAGACAGTGCTACGAAGAAAAATACACTTGCTCAACTTTCTGCTATATCAACTCCCAATTTTTCCTCTTTTGTCTTTAGCCAAGTTACTGTCAGTGATGTTAAGAAGAATATATTAGCCATTACTTCCGACGCAGTTGGTTCTGACAGCATTAGTCGTAAGATGATTATCCCAATACTCGATCTTTTAGCTCCTATACTAACACTTATTTTAAACCGTTCCCTTGACACCAGTGTTTTTCCTTCATCCTGGAAAGACGGCCTAGTAACTCCACTCCCTAAAAAATCTAATCCGACATATGAGGATTACCGTCCTATATCCATCCTTTCCTTTCTCTCTAAAGTACTCGAGCGCCTAATATACCAACAGCTGAGCAAATTCCTGTCCAATCATAACCTTTTGAATTCATTCCAATCTGGTTTCCGTCCCGGTCATAGTACGACTACGGCTTTGGTTAGAATCACTGATGATATTCGCCTGGGCATGGATAGTCAGCAGGTTACAGTATTGACATTGCTTGACTTTAGTAATGCCTTCAATACTGTAGACTTTGATGTTTTACTCGCTGTCCTAAGTTCTCTTAACATATCTCCTGAAGTAATTGGTTGGTTTCATAGTTACTTGCAAGGGCGCCGGCAACGTGTACAAATTCAAGACACGTTTTCTGACTGGTCTGCTGTCAAAGCTGGCGTCCCACAAGGTGGCGTGTTGTCTCCTCTATTGTTCTCTATCTTCATCAATTCGATCTGTTCCCACATAACTTCTCTTTACCACCTATATGCAGACGATTTACAAATCTACTCTCAATGTAAGATTGCGGATCTCCCCAATACAATTAGATTAATTAATGAAGATCTTATTCGTATTTCTCATTGGTGTAATTCATTTGGGCTTAAAGTTAATCCATTGAAGACTCAAGCCATTATTATTGGGAGTTCGAAATTAATCTCTCGGTTAACTTTGTCGCTGCTCCCGCCAATCATATTCGATGGGACACTTATCCCATACAGTGACAAAGTTAAGAATTTAGGTATTATGTTCGATCAGACTTTGTCTTGGGGACCGCAAGTTAGTGAAATAAGTAAAAAAATGTTTGCCGCAGTTGGTTCACTTCGAAGATTACGCAATGTTCTCCCCATTCCTACTAAAGTTGCGCTGGCTCAGTCTCTTCTTTTACCGATCCTTGACTACGCGGACACTTGTTATCTTGACCTAACATACGAGCAACTTAATAAACTTGAGCGGCTTCAAAATTATTGCATAAGGTTTATATTTGGGTTACGAAAGTATGACCACATATCCGAATTCCGCCATAAGCTCAAGTGGCTCCCGATTCGTCTTCGCAGGAATACTCACATTCTTCATCTTCTTTACTGCATTCTGTTCAATCCGACCACTCCTTCTTATTTGAAAGACCGATTTATATATTTAAGTAGTTTACGATCTCAAAATAATCTCCTTCTAAGTACCCCTAGACATTCCTCTTCCTTCTATTCTAATTCTTTTACGGTTACCGCTATACGACTATGGAATTCTCTCCCCTTACATATCAAAAAATCTAAATCTCTTCCTATATTTAAAAATAAATTAAAACTTTATTACCTTTCCTCTTAAGTTACTACCTGTCGTCATTCATTTTTAATCATTTATGTTCTTCTATTTATCTTTCTTTATCATATTCTGTACACCCCTTCCGCTATCTTTTAAAATAGTATCCTCTGCCCTAAGGTTGCCTGGAAGAGATCGCTGTTTTAGCGATAAGGCCGCCTGTTGTACCAATGTCCCTTTAAATATATAAATAATGTAATATGTTCCTTGGTGTACAATAAAGTATATTTTACTTTTACTTTACTTACCTGATGGAAAGTGGCTGCTGCAGACCATGGACAACTGCAGCCAACATCAAACAAAGAAAACTAAACACTAAGATGGAAAGCCTCGCAGCCTGCAATTATTCTGCCACTTTATACTTTATACAGCAGTGCAGGCATTGCTATCTAGATGATACAAGTGGGTATAATGTCTTCCAGACCAAATTTCGGTCACGGCGGTCAGCCTCAACGGAGACTAGCCACCAGTGCAAGACAGGATTATAGTATTCAAGTGCATTCACAACCACAGGTGCACGCTCTATTCCCTCACTCTCATAATCCGATGGGACGGTAAACCGACACGACCGGAAAGAGATCAGGCGCAAGACAAACGGCTTTATGTGCTTCCCGGCACGAGGCACGGGAGTGAGATACCGCCAACTTCCTGACTCCGAGCAGCTACTGAGAAATTCTTGACGGAAATACTCAGTATTTGATTTATTTCGCCCGACCACGGGATTCGAACCCAGGACCTCATGATCAGCAGTTGCACTACTACAACCATTAGAATCCACAATCAAACACCTTCTTTTAATTAGAATCCAATTAGAAGAAGGTGACAGCTACAGACAAAATACTAGTCTGAAAAAAGTCCCTGACACCTAGAATTTTCGTTTTAGTAATTTTTTATAGTTACGAATTACTCAACAAAAATCACAATACTTATATTATTTTTGTCTATTTCTTCCCTTATCGACCCGTTCATAGATGGCCTACGTCCTCTTCCATTGTAGGAAGGATTGCCGTAACCGTTTGGCGGATTGCATTATGGCCTAAATATGGCACAGTGAGAAATATCGACGATGATTGATGAAGGTACAATATCGTGTTTATATAAAAAGAAAAACATTTTGTAAAAAGTAAATAGCGGCTTCAAAACTTAAAAAAGAATATAGCTTCAAAATTGCATCTAGGAATTAAAAACCTGATTCCAAATACTATTCTCTTAATTGCCCACCTCTAAAGGAAAACATATTAGATGAAAGAAGTATTATTTAAATTAGTTATGCCGTTTCCGAGACTATATACTACATGTCTCTTGAACGAATGAATGAATATACCTTATTGTACACCACAAACAAATTTACAAAGAACATAAAAAAGATCAGATTACATGTACAATTTGGCGGCCTTATCGCTACATAGCGATCTCTTCCAGGCAACCAAAGGTGTAAAGGAATAAAGCAGTGAATATTAGGTAGGTGATGCAATACAAATATACATAATATAATATCAATACATGCAATAAAATAACATTCACACACAACAAATTAACAACACATAAAAATTCCTCAAACAATAACATAAAACAAATAAATACAAAACTCCATAATCACATAATTTGTCCTAACGATGTTCGAACGATTGAGACAAGTAATTATTATCTTTAAGAAGTCGCTTAAAGACTACAATAACTTGTGCTTCGCGTATATGCAAAGGTAGGGCATTCCAGAGCTTAATAGACTGGATAGTAAAAGATTTGTTAAAGACAGATGTATTGTGAGTTGGCACCCTCAAAATAAATTTTCTTGAAGAGCGTAGAGGTTCACCTGGCAGCCCAACAAAACTAAACTTCTCTTTTAGATAAGGAGGAGTAGAAGGGTGAAATCTCACTGCTAAGACATAATGTTTCGAAGAATTAAAGCCCTGACTCCAGTTGCTACTATGTGGATCTTATCTTAATCTTTTAACTACCCACCCCTGAATCATCGTCCCTGAAGTATACTTAGTTAATAATAGAAGTATGATTTTAATCAGTTCAGTCGGTCCGAAAACTTATACTATTTGTCTCTTGGCGTAAGCCTTCATTAGTATTCCTTACCTTTTGTGCTACAGGACTGTGTATGAGATACAAGTTCACATAATTCAGACCCAGCCTCTTTAACGAGTCTCGAAGTGCAGGAATCACTTGGTCACGGGCATGATGATTGTTCCATAACTGAAAGTTAAGGACAGCAATATTGTAACAAATTTATAAGTTTTACTTTAAAACTATCTGTGCCTGCAACTTCGTTCGCATAGAATGAATGAAAACAAAATCTTATTTGTTTTGAAGTTTTCTTTCTTGGGACTATTGGTTATATTTTATAAACTACAGCACTGTTCCAATTTAGACAATAATAGTATCGATATTTTTATACGGAGGAATTTCATCATGAAAGCGATCAAGTGCGTGGATGAATTCAACACCGGGGATGTAGTGTCCGTTTGATAGTTGTTTTATGTTTTTTTTTTTAAACGTTACCCCTACACTAAGATTTTCTCTTGTATCGTAGGGGCAGTTTACAAACATAAATTGCACAAGGACAAACATCCAGCCCCGGAACAACTATTTGTAGGCCATAGAAATATTTGTTCCGTGCGGGATTCGAACCCACGACCCCCAGCGTAGCCACTGATTGCTAAGCCACTGTGCCATGAAGTCGTCAAGTAAAAAACTAAGTAACGTAGATAATGTAAATGTAGAGAAGGTAAGTAACTAAGATAATGGAATAAGATACTCTTATTTATAGAAACATAAAGTTAATTTATGATAACGTAAGGACGGAACGATAGTTCGTTTGCCGTTTACTAGCGGCGTACATGAATCCATCACTCCATACGTACTTTCGATATATTGCGCTATAACCAACTCCTGCAACTTTACGAGGCGCAGTTTCGGCCTCACATGGAATATACTGTTCCCCTCTGAGCCGAGGCTCCCCAGTGAGCCAGACTTGAAAAAAATTCTACAACCGTAGTAAAAATGGGTTATTAGTAACTAAAAAACATTAATTTGTATTAAAAAAAAAGATTATCACCAGTTCATCAAATTAAAAGACAAAACTCTTGACGCGATTGACACATTATGTAAAAGAACCATTAGATCATTAAGATAATCACACGTATCCCAATAATCCAGAGCATAGGTATTACATTTAAACATAATTAACTAAAGGAATTCCGTAATAGCTCGGGAGATAAGTGCCCGAATAGCACGCAAAGAATGTAAGTCCAATCCTAACCGAAACTAACGAAATTGTTAATAGCACTTTTAAAATTTCATTTATCACGTACTCGGTGGTAAAAAAGAACATTATGAATGAACCTAAACCAGAAAATGGGCAGCAGCATTTTCCTGATGATAGTAGAATAAAAATAAACAAACCGCAGTTGCTAACTTATTTACCAACTTGCTCACTTGACTTTTGACCGGCTGTAATGAACTAATTAATCTATCAATGAACCTGCAAAAGGTCATGTATTCCTGGTCACCTATTCCTGGACTTCGCCCATGCTTTGCGCGGTCAAGCATTTAATCATATTTCCAGAAACTAACCTTCGTAGTGATAAAAAGTTCCTCCCTTGTCACTAAGCCATTCTGTATAGCATCTGCAATTCCCTGTCCGATCTCCACTTCGTTGCCGTATAGTTCAGCCGTGTCGATATGTCGGTAGCCAGCTTCTATTGCCCAGTAGACCGCCTGTCGCATCCGAGAGATGTCTTCTCTCTGAAACATAGATTATAATAGGCCCAATAGTAAAAAGGTAAGCAGAAAACCCTTCGACTATACTTGTCGTTTAGAACAGACTTAGTTATACAGTCTGGAAGTAGCCGTAATATCATAACAACATGTTGATCCCAAATTGTCATGACTAAGCTTTTGATGCTAAATTTCTCGTAAGCATGCTATTTGCAAGTAGCCATAATTTTACAACATCATGTTGATTACGAATTGTGCCGACTACCCTATACTATATTCAAGCCTGTATCACTCCGCGTTTTAGGTTAATTCAGTGAGGTTGTCACTCACGCGCTCGAGCTGACGCGCGCCTTACGTTAACACAAACGTATTTTTCTATTATAAGTATTAAGTCATTTTGATATTTATGTTTGAGTTTTATTCAAGTATAGCCACCCAAAAAGCCAAAAGATATAGCATAGTATACAGGTGCTTAAATAACAATAGGAATGTCGGCTTTTTATTCTTTACTGTCCTTAAGGATATCGAAAGTTAAGATATTATTATTTATAAGTATACCCGACCATAGTTTTGCGGTTTTAGATATTTTCGCGTATAATGTCAATAACCTTAACCTGTAGCGTCGATAATAATTGTTCAGTGTAAGTAGATCCCCCAGTACTGGTTACTGCGAGATCAGCATATACTGGTTATTGGTTAACACTTGGTCTATAAAATGAAGCGATTGAAAACAGTAGCACTTCCCAGTGCCACTCTTTCATTAATAATGTCGTTGCGTGTCGTTTGCGTGATGTTTGTTAATAGCAAAAAAAAAAATTAAAACAGAAAATAGTAAGTAGGTAAATTATCTGACTTTCAAAGACGTTCACGATGTTATAACCTCAATTTTTCTAGATGTTGCATATTAACCTTTCTCATATTGAACACCAATGTTCTTATTATCAGCTAATCACTAGTACATTGCATACACTACATAATATCTCGGTGTATTCTACTACCAACTAATATCAAAGGATTCAATTTGTTTTCTCAAAACAACTAACACTACAGTAGGAGCAGTCTTAACAAAGGCACGGTCTAATTCATAAACACTCTCACGCGGACGTAAAGTGCGTTTTGATTTAATACGTGCGCCGCATAAATATTTTCATCCACGATTTAATCGGTAGGCTAATTTCACGAAGGTTCCTTCCAAGGCGGGCAAAGTATTATGAACATTAGCGGCGTTGTAACTAGATTTAAACTCGCTAGTTTGCTATCAGAGAGTGATCCTTCCGTTCTTAAACTATTATTAATTTATTCTGTGCTGTATTAGATTACTCCAAAATTTTACGAAGTGTAATGTTACAGAAGACGCTGACTTCACTGCATAATTGTTAGTGCTGGTCAAACCAAGGTATCACACTTTCAATAAACAGACTTGTTTTAACCAACCCTATAAAAGCCGTTGCATTTGTAATCATATTCACTATATTTCTCATCGTAATAATTTAATCACCTAGTTAAGGAAGTCAGTATTGCATTAGTTATAATTCATTACTGAAACAAAATAGAAACATATTTTTATTGTTTTTAAAAAGTCTCAGCACTGCTCCCATAAAATATATTACATATATTCAATACCATCTAATAAAAAGTGCTAGAGATGAGCCTTTTCCATTGTAGGAAGAATTTGCCATAATCACACCGCTTTGCAGAATTGGCTACCTGGCTGGCAGTTGCAGTGTCTACATGTATAAATGTAGCCATGTACAAATGTGCAAATGTGCTCGCCGCCGCTGGACTAAATGTTTTATATTCGGTTTTTTTTTGTAGGATAAGGGTGACAAACGAGCACACACACCGGATGGTAAATGGATGCTGTGGCCCATAGACATCTACATTTACCCTCGATTAAGAATCAAAATGCAGATGTGTTGTCACCCTTGAGGACTAAGAGGGAATGCCTCGTATCCAGTAAAACGGGTCTCCGGTTCTCTACACTCACCATACGTAACACAGAAGCATTAAGCTGCTATTCATTTACGCTGGTATTCTGTGAGAGCGTGGTCCTTCCCCGGTCGAGCCGACCTAATTATGCTACAACCATAATATAGCTGCAGCGTGGCTCTACCACGTATAATTACGGCTTACATGTAATATTTATAACTGCCATCTTTTAGTGTCGTATCACAGAGCAACACAGGCCACCGGCGGCGGCCACGTATAATCATGACTTAGACCACATAAAAATTCTCACTTTAAACAATTATTTTTTAAGTATTACAAATACATTAACGTCACACTAAAATATTTAAAACAAGCAAAATTAAGTTTTATTGCATAGTTATATATGCATATTGTAAAGTTTAACGACCCTTAATTAAAAACCCTATTTTTATATATCGCATAAATAAAGATGCCTCACCGATCCATAAGTTCCAAGCGCAAGTATAGATATCTTATTGCCGTCATTAAGAAGCTTAACAGGAGCCTGAACAGCCCTTGTCCCAGTCTGAAACAATACGTAAAAAAAATTATCAATTTCATTATCAATTGGTTAGACTAAATTAGATTAGAGAGGTTGACGTGTAGTGATGCTGAGAGAATCCACCATCCCGTATCATCCCTTGGTTGTTATAAGAGGTAACAGAGGTAAACTGAAATAGAAGATGGGCATCAGCATCTGGAGACGCTACAGTTTGCCCCTTTGAATCCGGCTCGGAAGAACCACAAAATGGTGCGGCCACAGGGTCTTGGGTTCATACCTGAATTCAAGCTACAACTGCGCTAGCGGCGGCGACACGTCGACGACTCTGGTCGGCCGGCGGCGAGCTTCCGGCCCCTCTCTCTTTGCGTAGCAACCTTTCATTGGTCGCGCGAAATGACACCACCAAGTCTAGCCTCCCATAGGGTGTGCCCGTGTAGGAAGGAAGCGGAAGTGAGGAGGACAGATATTACCGGCTAATATAGTTAATTAAATGTGCGTTTAGGCGCAACCAGCATCCTCTTCATAATACTGATATTTTGGAGTTTTTTAAACTGAAAAATTCTCAATTAATCAATTTAAAGGTTTAATTGGTAGAATTCACGCAATTCATAAATTCCATTATACTTATAGCGGGCCATAATACAATTTTAAAACCTGTTTTCAGTCAGAACCTAGCTTGGTAAATAATCCTAAATAAAACTGTGTTCCCAGTGAAAGTACATTTAGTAAACTACTAATTTCTATCTTCGACTTCACATATAATGAAGACAGTAAAATAGCTTCATTTCTCTCATCTACTTTGGAATTGAATACAATCGTATATGTAAAAGTTTTTTGAACTTTAACGAACCGAACTTTTAAAGCAAAAATGGCATCGAAACGTTCCTGCCCATGTAGTTGGATTTATGTAAAATCATCCTGTGCTCAGGGCCTTCTCGGGCCAAGGGCCTCTTCCAGCTAGGTACCCGTGGCATTTTGCCCAGCCTGCCACCCCATTGTTTATCATCATCATCATTACAGCCCTTCATAAGTCCACTGCTGAACATAGGCCTAAACAAGGAATACCACAAAGCACGGTCCTGAGCCACCTGCTTCCATCGACTTCCTGCATGTCTTACCAGGTCGTCATTTCATCTAATGGAGGGTTGCCCTACACTACGCCTACCGGTACGAGACTGCCACTCGAGAACCTTTTTTCTCCATCGGTAGTCGGTTATTCGAGCTATATAGCCAGCCAATTGCCACCTCAGCTTACTAATCCATTGAGCTATGTCGGTCACTCTGGTTCTACTGCGGATATCCTCATTTCTAAATTTATCACTCAGAGAAACCCCGAACATAGCCCTTTCCATAGCTCGTTGAGCGACCTTGTGCGTCCTCATACAGTCAGCAGTGAAGGACCACGTCTCAGATCCATAAGTCATCACTGGCAACACGAACCGGTTGTACAATCTAGTTTTCAGGTTTTGAGGTATACCTAACGAAAAGATGTGTCGTAATTTCCCGATCGCTGCCCAGCTGAGTTGAATCCGTGGATTGACCTCTCGGTCGAAGTTGGACTTACCTAGTCAGACTTTGGCTTTGTGCTCCCAGCAACTACCGGCATAGGTGTGACATGGACATTAAACATGATCGTTGTTTTGTCCATGTTCATCTTAAGACCTATCAGTTGACTCAACAGACACTATTGAGGTCATTGAGCATAGTGCTTAGCTTCTCCAGCGATTCTGCCATAAGGCTATATCGTCGGCACTTCGAAGGCGAGTGATGTACTCGCCATTGATATTGTTACGAGATTGCGGTTCGTGATAATAAAAACTGCCGATTAAATTACCAAAATTTACACTTTTATTACCGAACACCAATTAAAACTTAAAACACTAATAATTAATCACACTGATTCACTTTATTTCGCTTCGAAGCTTCGCTTTTCTTGCCAAATTCAATACTGCCCCGATCGCGGCTATCAATGGCTTTATATAGGGCTCTTTCACGAAAACATCCAGAATATTCGATGGCAGGCGCAGAAAGTTCGAGTGTGGGGCTTCTAGAAAGCTTAGTTCTTCAATTCGATACTAGATGGCGCTGTTGGTTGAAAGATTAGTGGCAGTTTTTTGTTATATAGTTGCTTTTATCAGAAAGATGCTGCTGCCCATCTTCTGCCTGTCTCTCTCTGTCGCCTCTTACGACACCCACGAGAAGATATGGGGTAGTGGATATTCTTAACCGCCATTTTTATGCGCAGGTAACAGCCATGATATGATATGTGATATACAAAACCACTACCAATAGCAATTCAGCAGCTGAGAATAGTAATCACATTGTTATCTCTTAAACTGCAAAGTGACTGACACGGCAGTCAAATTCTTATAGTACTTAAATATATATACAGTTCCTAAAATTGTAATAAGCCTGCCATTTTAAAATAAAAAGAAACAGTAAGGAAAATATTTCCTGAAATCTCTATTAAATTAAAATTATATATTTACGTATACAATTTTGGGTTACTTTTATTTCAAATCCCTTATTTTTTAAAGTTAAAGAAATAGTACAACAACTTATGTAGAAATAGGTATGATAAGTAAATGGGAGCAGTTTCTGCCGAAAAACTGTCAGTTTAGCAAATTACAATCTTCATATTTTTTGTTGATACCTGGGCTGCACTAAAAGTATCGGGAATGGAATATTTCCACTGTTCCTGTCATATTAAAATCTTTTTAATTAAAATCTCCTTGGTTTTAAAAATCGAATACCATTTATTTATTTAAAAATAGATTCTCGGTCTTGTCAAGGTTTTTTCAAACTTGTTTAGTCGTTGAGAAAATGGAATTGACTCTAGAAAATTCAAGAGCGATGATTTATTATGACTTTGACGTGGTGACTATGAAGTGGTTTAACACAAAAACAGTGTGTTGACCGGATGATTTCTGCATTTGGTGATGAAGCCCCATCCAAAACCACAATTTATCGCTGGTTTGCTGAATTTCAACGTGGACGTGTCAAGCTCAGTGATGATCCCCGTCAAGGTCGTCCAAATACTGCAGTCACCCAAGAAAACGTTGACGCTGTGCGTAAGCTGATTGAGGAAGATCGACATGTGACATACCGCGAAATGCAGGCAACTTTAGACATTGGCATGAGTCAAATACAAATAATCTTGCATGAACAATTAGGTGTAAAAAAGTTGTTTTCCGGATGGATACCGCATTCGCTCTGTGAAGAACAAAAAGCGGCTCGCGTTACTTGGTGCGTCAGAACTCTCGAAAGATTCCATGCAGGATCCTCAAATGATGTATACAACATCGTATCAGGTGACGAATCCTGGATATATGCGTACGAACCCGAAACAAAAAACCAGTTACGAGTTTGGGTGTTCAAAAATTAGTTAAAGCCAACAAAAATTGTGTTTTCACGGTGTCTTGCAAAAAAAAAATGGTGGCCATGTTTGTCTCCAAAACCGGCCATGTTACGACTATTCCTCTTGAGAGACAAAGAACGGTTAATACAGAATGGTATGCTGGCATTTGTTTGCCACAGGTCGTTTCTGAACTCCGTAAAGAGAACTGCAACCGCCGCATCATCCTCCATCACGACAATGCGAGTTCTCACACCGCACACAGAACAAAAAGAGTTTTTAGAGCAAGAAAACATAGAATTATTAGATCACCCGCCGTACAGCCCCGACCTAAGCCCTAATGATTTCTATACTTTTCCTAAAATAAAGAATAAGTTGCATGGACAGAGATTTTCATCACCTGATGAAGCTGTGGACGCCTACAAAACGGCGATTTTGGAGACCCCAACTTCCGAATGGAGTGGTTGCTTCAATGAATGGTTCCATCGTATGGAAAAATGTGTCAAATTTCGCGGAGAATACTTCGAAAAGCAATAAATACATTTTTAAATAGCAATGTTGTGTCACTTCCTTGATTCCCGAAATTTTCAGTATTGTAGAAAACCATCAACACTCAATTCGGGTTGCCAAGTCCTCTGAACGGCCACACCGGACCAAACTGCTGCTTCGGTCCCACACCATAGGTGACCAAGCAGAAGGCTGTAGGATAGGATGTGCGATGTTGCCAACAAACAAAGATGGTTATTTTTATTTACATTAGTATATTTTATTTCTTATCTTTTAATCAATTTTTGTGATTTTCCAGGATTTGTGATGTATCCTCAGTGGTTTACGAATTATAAACTATTTCATGATTATTAATACAACATATTTTTTTTTATAATTGATTCTTTAATTTTTTTTTAATAATTAGTAGTTATCTATATAAAGGACATAAAACTTTAACACGAAATCAACTAAGGTACATGTTAAAATTTTAACTAAGAGCAAAGTGTCTCATTTTTGAACCCATGGAGCATGTACTCGATGGTTTAACAGAATACAAATACGTCGCTTTGTTTTTATCGAAATATTTAAAAATATTTTTCCTGTTTTTTTTTCTCAATATGTACTTATTTATCATGTTCATAAAAAAGAATAGGGGAGAATATTTGTGTATTTAATTTAGATTACAAGTGATTCTTTCTACAAGTCTTTTACCACTGGTACGGGAAAGGTAAAAAAATTACCAGTGGTATGGGAAAAAAACCTCTGTCCTGATAAGAACCTCTGGGGCTTAATGAAACCAGGGACTTTATTTTTTCAAAGTTAAATTATTCAACAAAAACACAAGTATTCGCATGATAGATAACATTACGAAGAAACGGCAATCGGTCTAAGATGGCGACATAGGTATAAGAGAGATGAGAAGGAGAGAGGATTCATTCCAAAGTTCATAATGTTAATGGATCTTACTTTTTATTTTAACATTCCTATATATGATAGCGTTTTGTTACATTGTCAAAAATCAAAATCACAAACATAACTATATATTTTCTCCTAATACTTTCATAATACAATTACTTCTACCACTTAATTACTAGTAATTAAGTGGTAGAAGTAAGGGCTTAGCTTAGCTTAAGTGGTAGAAGTAAAGTAAAATCAAAACAAGAAAGCTGTAAAAAACAACAACAACTATAAATAAATTAATAATAGGTATGTATTTCACGTGAATAAAAGAAATTAGTGTTTTCAAACTTGGTTAGTAAGAGACTCATAATTTCTTTAAATATGACCTCCATCGGTCAAGTCGTTCAAAGTCTAAAGACCTTTGTTTTATTATCTAAACGTGTGATCCCAATGTATAACTTCATCCATACTGTTACAAAATTCATTAAAATATTTATTTTCATAACATAAGCATAAAAAACATTATTTTGGTCTTATTATTAGGTATATACATATAAATCTAATCAAAGATTTTAAAAATAGAATTGAGCTCGTAATTTATAGATATTGCAATTTACTTTTATAATAAAAATTCAAAACCTTGACCTTTATTTTTTCTATATATTAAGTTGGTAAGGCATTACTTATGTTCTCTCTTTTGATTAAACGCATATATAAACTTATCACTATATAAAAACTTACATTGAAAAAAATTAATATCAAAACTACAAAAGACACAAACCGCGCCATCTTATAAGCGCCAATCGAGAAATCGGACTGATCATTATACATTATGAGTATAACAAGCACTTTGTTTACAAAAACAACTTAAAGCCCCTTATATGTTTTTACAGTAGATGGAAACGACACGAACACGATTTTATAAATTTAATTAGAGGCGCTCGGTACAAGATGCAGGATTTTTTAATTATCGATCGGCTCGATTCACTGGCACTGCGAAGAGATGTTGCATCTCTTTGCATTTTCTTTCGCGTATACCATGGAGAGTGATCTGAGGAATTGTTCGGATTAATCCCAGCCGCCAAATTTCGTGAACGCACTACGCGGCAAACGTCCCGATACCATCCACACCATCTGGATGCTTGGCGGTCCATCACTGTACGTTTCAAGAGGAGTTTTCTTCCGCGTAGAACCTCTCTGTGGAATAGTTTACCACCAGCGATTTTTCCGGACTGATGACCTGGGGACTTAGCGATACGACCTGGGGACCTTCAAGAAAAGAGTTTACTCCTTTCTAAAGGGCCGGCAACGCACCTGCAATTCCCCTAGTGTTGCGGTTGATCATGGGCGGCGGTAGTCACTTAACATCAGGTGAGTCGCATGCTCGTTTGCCCCCTCTTCTATAAAAAAAATTAAGAAAAATTATAATGCAAATTATGTACAATAATTTGATTGCGTAAATCACACAATATTGCTTTTGACATTAAATGTACCTGGGCGAACAAGGATCCCTCAATATTAAAATAATTAAAATTTTCTCAAGGATGACGACACGTAAGATAGTCTGTGATTATAATTGACTCATCATTGCATTTGAGTTGACGACCGTGTCTCGTCACTCGTCAAACTAGTTTCTAACCTTCCCGTACCCGCAATAGTTGTATGTATTACGTTCTTGTGACTTTTTCTTTTATTACATGTAATTAACAAAAATTAATACTATGATATACGACCGACGAAATGTCCTTTTCCAATAATTATTTTCTGATAGTTAAATAGCACAAAACAGTACAAAAACACAAAAACAGTAGCTTTAAGGAAAATTATGAAATATAAGTGGTAACATTAAAAATTTTGTACAACCGACTTCAATATAAATAAAATGAGAACATCATCAATGTAACCGAAATCAATTAAATACGCATTATTAAAGATAACTCAAAAACTACTGATCAGATCTTGATCAAATTTATATGAGACCACATGAGAAGCATCAGCTTTCAAATAAAAACAGAATCGATTCACCAAGAAAAAAGTTCTGAGGTAACACACATTAAAAATACAGTCGAATTCAGAACCTCCTCCTTTTTTTAAAGTCGGTTGAAAATAGATTTCAAGCGATGAATAAAATAACATTAAACAAAATTCAAGTTTATTTTAAGCAATGATATCTTCAAAATTGGTAAATAATTCACTAACCTAAAAGATAGCTCTCTACTATCTCTGCTTTCTTGGATTATTGATAGGTCTTCACGCGCTCAAACGCGAAGACCTATCAATAATCTAAGCTTGCTTTGATTCCTTAATGTAATTATTTTAAAAGACAGGAAAAAAACAGTCTGTAAATTGCATTTAAAACCTTGTGTGTGATAACTTTGTTTCATTTTAAAGCATTTAGAAATCATTTACAGAAAACGACTTATCAATGGCCTTATATATTATGGCTCCTGGTCATAGACCTCTCACAACCAGTTCATTCCGGTATATTTATTTACAATTTTATACACTTAAAGCCCGCTTATATTATAAGTATTCCTGAATATGCATACAATTTGCATCACTGGGTGGATAAAAACCTTCAGATTATTCAACACTTTACCAAATATATGAATTTTTCCTGTTTGAAAGACTTACCGATCTAGTCTAATCTTATTTTTGTTACTACGAGTATACATGACGAGATAAGCTCCATTAGGTCTCTTCGTACGTATGAATTGAAGTCAAATTGATTTACAAATGAATAGTGATCGTGTCTTTATCTATGGGTAGAGTGCGCTCTATGAGTAGAGCCGGCTCTATTTTCCGATAGAGCCCTTTCTGGCGCTCAACACATTTTGGTTGCATGCTGTTCAATAACTTGCGCCTGGGCTATCGTTACCGCTGGGGTTGGGGTAGAGGTGGCTGCCTGAGGAGGAGGCTGCACCTTCTTCTTCTTTTTCTTCCCTCGCTTACTCCTCTGGGAGGGTTGACGCTCGGTGGCGTCGTTAGCGGGGGGCTGAAGAGTTGCCCCGGTGGTTGCTTTGGTTCTTGCTGTTGTGACCGGTGCCACCGTTTATATTGGTGTCATAACGGTTGGAGGGGGGGCGACCTGCCTACCCTTCCCTCTAATGGTGGTCCACCCGTCTTCCTGGATTATGACTCTGGGGTGACTCTGGGGGATCCTCTTGGGATCTTCCGGTAGTAAACCCATCGGCAGCGCTGCTTTGATCAGCAGCGATCGTTTGCAGTATGGTTCTTTGCGCAGTTAGCGCATGTGGGTTCCTCATCCCTACCCCTAGGGCAGTTACTGGCTACGTAGTCCCCGGCACAGCGAACACACTTCACTGGCCTGAAGCAATTGGCAGAAGAGTAGCCAAAGGCCTGGCAGCGGTGGTATTGAGCCGGACCCGCTCGTCCTTGCCAGGCCTCTATGACTACTCCTTTCATATAAAGGAGCTCGTCGATTTGATATAGTTGATTAAGGCGCTCCAGGCTCAGGTGGTCCAGCTGCGTGAAGTAGAGGCACCCAGGTCTGCCTCTACGGGGGGGATCCCTTTGACATTACTTATCGGGAATCCCTTCGCCCTGATAGCCCCCTCTATTGCGGCTGGATCAGTATCAACTGGCAGTCCCCGTACGCCCACTTTTGTGGGCTTGTCTTCTTGCTGAGTGTAACAATACCAGGACATGGCTGGTATTTTTTCTGTTATTTCAACTAGGTATTTCTGTATAGTCTGGAATTCTTCCGGACTATGTGGGGTGAATCTTACCCCCTTCGCGAACGGATGAGCATTCGGTGGATGGCCCAACTTTCTGTTGAGTATCTCGAAATGCTTCGTCCAGTCCGGGAGGCACTCTGCCACTATAGGCGGGTATTTCCTCTGGGTTTCCTTGCCTGGTTTTGGTTCCTCAGCTGTCTTGGTCCTGGGTACTTTTTTTTATAGAATAGGGTGACAAACGAGCACACAGTCCACCTGATGGTAAGTGGTTGCTGCGGCCCATAGACATCTACATCTATCCTCCAAATACTGCTGGGGCAGCTATCGTCCAATAATAGGCCTGACGGGTTGGTGATTGGCGCGGATGATGACTGTCCGGCAGATGGCGCTAGTGTCGCATAGGTGGTTGAGTCCCACCCATACGACTCCTCTCCTCCTTGCTCCAATTTTAAGAAGGGCTTGGCTTATGTGGCGATGGCGACTTCGGTGGCATTTGATGAATCCTATGCCTATCCGGTTGTTGGCATTCATCGTCTTCAGATGAAGTTGAGGAGTATTCAGAATGTGAACCGACGCATTGCCTCTTTTCTTGAAGTGATGCGGCAGTCTCTGGTGGTGTATGCCTTCGTGGCGTTTTTCTCACCTGCTGATGTAGGGGACGGTTCGCGACCACTCGTACGCTCAGGTACGGCGGGGGTGAGCGCGGCGCTCTCTATTCCCTCACTCTCATAATCTGATGGGACGGTAAACCGATGCGACCGGAGAGAGATCAGGCGCAGGACCAACAGCTTTACGTGCTTTCTGAGGTACGGAGGTGAGACACCGCCAACTTCCTGACTCCGGGCAGATACTGAGAATTTCTTGACGGAAAAACTCAATTTTGATGTTTGGCCCGACCTGGGATACGAACCCAGGACCTCGTGATCAGCAGTCGCACTAATCGCACCATTAGACCAACGAGGCAGTCAATATGTACAAGTCCCATATAATAAATGTATATATCGCTATTGTTCAATTATATTTAAATTCAAGTTATTATTATTTTACAATTAAATTAATACTATTAAAAAATTAATTATCATACTTTTATCCTCTAGGTACTTTTTGACATTATAATAACAATTAATAATTAGTCTAATATCGTTTAAAATTGGGGAATAGGCAACTTTTTGACATTAGCAGTTTTTTTGTGAATCAGTGATGCCATACAAATAACACTTTTATTGACTAGTGCTGTGTGCCTTAAAGCCGTGTAGTGGTGGCGTAAAGAATCCGCTACCCCTTATCATATACCGTGAGTAGGGTTACCAGATCCGTAAATGAGTTTTCTTGGTAAAATCTCTGGCTATCCAAAAAAATTTCTAACATTGACGAACATGTCGCAAAAATACCTACTTAGTGTTAGAAACAGTAGAAACTCAACATGTGTTTAACAAAGTAGAAACTCGCACATGTGTTTTATTTTATGCGCAATATCCAGGAATAAAAAGTACGAGCCAGATTAGATTAATTTTACAATTTAATTGTTGAGATTTAATTCATTTATCATTATTTTTGTGATTAACTGTTTAATTAATATTTTATTTTCTATTTGAAAAATTCCTGACAATTTCAAAAAATTTCAGACATGTCAGTAAAATTCCTGTCATCCGGTAGCTCTAACCGTAGGTGTCGTAAGAGGCGGCGAGAAAATGAAAACAAATGATGAGCAGCATCTTCTGGATGATAATTCAAAATAATAAAAGCAGCGTAAACGTGGCTAACTAGCGCTACTAATAATTTTATTTAAGTATATTTCATTAAAAACAAAATTATTTAAAACACTAAGTACTTATTTATGAAATGTTATCCCTATATTTGAAAACTTGCAAGTTGTGGGAGAATTTCCGCAGTTGGATATGCTTAAAAACTCCATTTTTACGTCTTTGCGTCCGAAATAACACTGGTGACCGAAACAAACGCTCCTTGCGCGCTTGTGGCCTACGAGTCGCATGTGCGGCGACAAGGTCACGCGCTTTTATGACTTATATTGCCTTATTATTTAGATTTCTGTGGGTAAGTTGCAGTTGATTTTGGCCAATAAATCTAAATAGATGTTGAGGTGAACACGCGCTTTTGTAATAATAATTCATA